TCTGCCGGAGCATGTTTCTTGCCTTTCTCTATGTGCTACACTCTCACACAATACCACCACCAACAACGAGCACCAGAAAGCAACTGAATAGCCTCGACAGTTATTCGAATAAAGCCGACTAGAGTAAGTTTCTACAAATCAGACGCGACACGACCACGCGCGCCACACTTAGAACGTTAACAGAATGCAACTAACTACGCACGCCACTGCCATGGAGCGGCCGGCTGTCTCTTATGTGTTTGCTTTTGTCCCTGTCATAAAAAATAAAAGCCCCGCGACGTTTACCACTACCAGAATAAACACAAAACGGACACAATCAGATACGCACGCGCGTCCGAAAACCGGAAACGCCCGCGCGCTTCTCTATTCTACAAGGGGACCGCCTGCACAGTCTCGCGCCCGTTTCGCGCTAGTGGATCTTCGTTCGTTCTTTCTTTCTTTCCTTTCTGGCGCTTTGATCTTTCGCCTTTCCCTGATCAACATCAACCACCTTCGAACTTGTTTTTTCATTCAGAGACCTCCGCCACTGTCTTGCGTTTGATTCTGTTGCGCCTTTTTTATTATAATAGAAAAAGAACACGACGCGCACCCAAAAGGCGCGCTTTTGTTTTTCACTATCTCACAGCGATCCAATGCGCTACACAGAACCAGAAAAACTCGACCAGCGAAATTTTATTTGTAGCATATCAGAGCAGTAGCGCCGCGCCAGTTTGGGCGACGTCCTTGCTTGGCAGGCTCTGCACCGTCGAACACAAAAACGGCCAACGGCGGGCCAACATCCAGCCGCTACCGTTCTCAAAAAGAGAAACGCCGCCCCCGTTCTTTTTTTTTTTTCCACACAGCACCACAAAGAATCAAAACAGTCAGGCAAGCACCCGCGCGGGGAAGAACTTCACACACGCGCGCAAGTCTTTCGCGCTCTTCTTTGCATGCCGTTCAACCCGTTGCCCCTTGCTCCTAGTCATGCCCTCCCCGTTTTCTCTTTTTGCTAGTTCTTCTTCCTACTCTTTTGCCCAGTGGAAACGCCTGCCCCATTCTTTCACGACTCCTGTCTGCTCTCCCGCTTGCATCAAAACGACGGCGAACGCAAGCGCCCGCGCATGTTTTCACTTCACCAAAATGCTACCGCCGCCGCCTTTGACGAACAGCCAGCGCGGCGCCGCCTCGTCCGGCCTTTTTTTCCACGACTGCGCCCCGCGCTCCTTCCCCTTTGTGCCGTCCTCCTCAGTCCTGTGGCATTCCCACGCCCGCGCGGTCTTCTTCGCTGTCTTCCAGCTCTTCCGTGGTTTCTTCTTCTTCACTCGCTTCATCTTCAGCGACTTCGACGCCTGTAGCGGCCATACTGTTGCGACTACTGGTCGACGAAGACGGCGCAGCACCTCCGCGGCAACCACCCGCCCACTTGGTTCCTGCTGTCTGTGCCGGCCCGCTCGCCTGTTGTGGCTGCGCTTTTAGCGTCGTGCTGGATGCGCCGCCCCCCGCTTTCATAGTAGGCAAAGACGAACCGAGCCCCACCATACGCAACCGCGCCCCTCCTCCTGCCTCCTCTTCTTCGCTGCTACTACACAAGTCGACTACCTCTCCCGCCGGGGTGTTCGCGTGGCGTTTTTCCTTGCCAGAATTTCCAGGGCGTTTGCCTCCTTTCGCGCCTTCATCCGACTGCACCTCAACCACCGACATGCCGGCACTCTCCTCCAGCATCTTCCGCGCCTCCTCGTTGCTGCGTTGAAACACGAACGCGCCGCGCCCTTTCTTCGTGCTTTTTCCGCCGGCGTTTGCGCGGGTGCTCCCCTTTGCCACCAGCTTGCCTGCAGTGCGCTTGGAAACATTCAGCAGAACGCGCCCAGGCGGGTGCGACGCGTTGTATTTGTCTGCACGACAGAACCGGTTCCAATTGCCACAATAGCGGCACGAAACTAATTGCCCGGCCATGTTCTTTGCTATCCTCGCAGATGATAGACAAGGCGAAAGATACAAGAACAACAAAGCTAAGCCACCTACGTCGAGCCAGTCAGTTAACTTCTACAGACCTAAATCCCTCGCAGCTAGGTGCGGCGCGTGCTCTTTGCTTGGTGTGTTTTCTTAGTCCCTGCAAAAGTAATTCGACAAAAGTGCAGTAGCCCAAAATTAGCCCCGACCTCTCTACGTCTACTCTATACGTTCCACCTTATTTCTACACATCGCAACACTGTACAACCGTAAAAGAATGGACGCGACTACAGTACACTACTGACCTCCGCCCGCTTTCCTTGGTAACTAGTTACGCTCTGACTAGGTGCCTGCTACGAGCCCCGCGAGCTACTAGCCCCGGCCCGCTTTGGCTACGGTGTTCGTCGATTTCCATTCTTAGCCGCGCAGCGCTTTCTCTATTTGATCTGGTATCACTGGCGGAACAACTGTGGACGAATTATTTTCTTTATTTCTTGCCTTCGTCTGGCCATTAGAATTCACAAGCGCAGAAGGCCACAGAAACGCGGAAAAGATCAGAACAGGCCACCACGCTACACAGGCGCCGCGCCCTTTACTGATCCGAACTCAATGAATGGGCATCAAGCTCAAGACGACTCCACTGGCGTGAAGCTGTTGCCGTCTGCAGTTGAACGCGTTAAAAATGAGCTCGCTGCACTTAGCTCGATCGCCCGCGTCACTCGTGTCTTTTTAACATATCCAAGGGAACACACTGACTAGGCCGCTCGAACTTTTGACCACTCTGACGCGCCGCTATTTTTTTTTCATTCAACCACGACAAACGCAGACACGCTATCACCACGAGCCCCACACGGCGTTTCTGCAGCTAGTTTCCCTCGGGATCCAGCACCAAGACCACCACAGCCCCAATCTTCGCGGACCCCTGTCCTTTGCCCCCTTTAGCAATTTCATCGAGAACGCACCCGCCAAATCTTTTGCCTAGCTTCCTTCTTACTGCCTGCCTCGACGTTTTTCCCCGCAGATTCCTCGCTCCCTCGTTGCTGCATCGCTGTCAGGCAAATGCTGACCGGCGTCCGCGTCGGTTCCTCCTTGGGTCCTTTGTCACTTATTGCGCCCAGCCTCGCCGTCATTTCCGTCAGGTTCCTCGTCTTTTAGGCTTTTGGTCTTCTCCTTGTTTTCTCCCTCCGGCACAATGGCGCCGCTGACCGTCGTGCAAGCATTCCCGACCCGTTTGCCAACAGCTCCAGACAGCCTGCCCCGGCGTCCTCTTTTCATTGGCGTCCCTGCTGGCTTTTTAGTCCGTCCCGCCTTCACCGCGCTGCTGCCTGCAGATTCTTCCAAAATGGTCGGGCTCGGCAGCGGTTTACTGTTCAGCGTGTCCGGAAAGAAACCGTAGTCGCCGCTGTCGCCGTCCCAGTCCCACCATTCGTCTTCTTCTTCATAATGGCCCCCGCCGTCATCTTTCCAGCAATCCGCTCCAGTCTCCCCCGCCTGCGCATCTTCCTCGGCGCTTTTGCGCTTGATGTCACTGCCGGCATTTTTTTCCCCTTCTTTGCACGACAGAAGCGGCAACGCTTTCCGCGTGTTCTTTTTTCCTAAGCGTTTCCCCGGGGTTCCACGCTTCTTCTTTTTTGAAGTCTTTTTAGCGCGGCGCTTTTTCTTGGCAACCGCTACCGCGCCCGGCGGGTGCGCAGCGTTGTACTGTTCTGCGCGGCGCAGCGACTGCCATTTTCCACAATAGCAGCACGAGACCAGTCCGTCCATTTTGTTGCCTAGATTGTAATACATACCCACAAGCAGTAACCTGTTGCCAATGATAAAAGCTACAACGTGCGAGCTGCTTTGGTGCTATATCGCTCAACTATTCAACCCCGCCACGACGTCTACGTCAGCGGTCGCCTTTGTCTTTTTGTGGTTTCTATTTCCTTGGTCCCTGTGAAGAAATTTGCGTGGTCTCTATGACGTCAACTAACACCAACCGCCTAGAGCGAATTGCTGTCGCTCGTCTGCCTCATAATCGTGATAGTTTCTCTACAGGGTCCGGCTTCTTTAAAGGGTTCAGGTGGATCATCTGTGCACGCTTTGCCTCGTTGTCAATTGTGTAGTCTAGCAGGATCATGACACAGAACACAGATCACACTCACAAGCAGGCCCCTGCCATGATTGTGCCTTTTTGATTTTCCACCAGTTCGCTGAAATTTTCATTCTATTGAAACCACCTGCGCCGGATCAGTGGCAGCATGGGGGCGACTTTGCTGAACGGACTACGCCACCAGGATCACGCGCGTCGGCTCTACTCATGCAGAACCTCTTTTCGGCCTCTTTCCATAGTTTTCATTTTCATTCTTGTGGGTCCAAACCCTGGCCACGACTTGGCGGGATTCATTTCATTCAGCGAGCTTGTTTCTCTATTTGATCTAGCACGCGACACCACACGGGGCGCGGATTCGTTCTCTTTCTTGTTGTCTAGTCTTTTACTTCTTGCCGCCGGTTTTTCCTCTCACGTTCTGCAAACGCTGACGCCCTTCGACTGGCTGAGACCGATCATCCGCTCACTCACCCAAAATTTACAAAACAACAACAGACAAACCAGCCACACCGATAGACAAACTACCGAGCCTGCGCCGATACACTAACAGACCACGACCGAAGGCGCGCGAGCTTAGCACCCTGCTGCAGCTTTTCTAGCTGAACACCACCACGAGACGGAAAAGAACGAAGCGAAGCCGGCCCCCACACTCTTTTTGTTGTTCCTTCTGTATATGCAGACACAACCCGGACCCACTAACAGCGAAGGCATGTGGGCCCATTCTATTCATTTTTGCACTAACTACACTCTTGGGGCTGGGTGGGTAGTATTTAAGTCACCGGCTCACTTGTTTCGTTTTAGCCGTCTCCGCTTTGCATTTTCACCACCGTCGTCGCGGCTTTGCTGTCTCTCTCTTGTGGTTTTGTCGCTTCTCTCCGCGGGGTGGCCCTCTTCCATCTCTTCACCTACTGCACAAGCCTCGCCCTGTCTTGCGCTGCTGCGTGCGGTCGCCTCGTCTGTGGTGCCAACCTCCTCAGCAGTACCCCTCTCGCCCTCCATTTCTTCAACGTTTTCCCGTTCTGCGTTGGTCTCTTGCTCTTGCGCGGTGGTCCTTGTGGCCTCTGCTGCGGGCCCGTCCTCGTCCCTTGTGTGTGCGTCTCCGTCTCCTTTGCGTTGGTCTTCTCGCGCCGCAGTGCCGCGCGTGCCTTTCTTAGCGGTCTTGCCTTCGTCCACTTCGTCGGGGTCCTCTTCCTCTGCTTCGCTAGTCTCTAACCCCTCGGCGGTGGTGCTGGGCGCCGTCGCTTGTGCGCTTGGCGCTTCCTCTCCGTCTGCTTCTTCTTCAGCTGCCTCTTCCTCCTCGCCGTCTGCTTCGCTGTCATATTCTGAAGCCCGCAAGACCTCGCGCCGCGCTTTTTCTATCTTGGCCCCTGCTCCAGGTGGGTGCGGCTCTTACAAACATCAGAAACAACAAGGCAGGCCGTGTAGAAAATCCCCAGAAAATCCCCAAAAAATCCCGGAGAAATCCCGGATCCATCCCCTTGGGCAAGTAGTGGAGGCGTGGCCAATTTGTTTCTTTCGGTGGTGTGATGTGGGTCGAAAGTCCATCCCTATCATCGGCGACGAAGTCCTCCGTGCTGGAAGTGGAGGGCACCAGTAACAAGACCTGCTGCCTAGTCCTCCACGCGGGCGCCCTCTGGAAACGTGTTCGAGGCTTGTGCCTGCTACCTGCGGCTGAAGTTCTCGAATGCGGCTAACGAATGGCGGCATCTTCTACATGGGTCGCGTTCATTCTGCAGAGAGTTTCGATCTCTTTCTGCTTGATGTGTAGGCGCGGCCCATGTCGGTGCTGTCATTCGATTGGCGGCAGGCGCGCGATCATTTAACATCATTACTTTTTTAGTACGTGCGGACAAGTAGCTGTGCGTGCTTTATCTTAGCTTATTAATATAGTTGATTCTTAAAGAATAGTTATACAAAGGTTGGGTTAGTTATATTTCATCATGATAGCAATTCAGAGAATTGCTTGGTCTTCTAGTACTAGCATCTATCCACGTATTTTATGATCCAGTACTATTAATTGTCTAGTTGATCGCTGAGGTCTTTCAAAATGATACTGATGAGGTTTTTGTAATCTGTAGGATGCATGCAGCAGGCACACAAGTAATAGGATTGTTGATACCTCCATGTTATGGATTTTTATTTCGGAGTAGCAGCAGGGGGAGCTGCGTTTGTGATCGAGGAGCCGGAGCTACGGACGATGGACTTTTTCTTAAGGATAGGACAGCGCTGGGCTCATTAGTAGTAACTTGTCATGGCGTATTTTGCGTATTTTTTCCATGTAACTGAAACAAAGGGATGAGAATACGCAAGGGTGGGCACTTTTTTTCACGGGCGACGATATTGAATAATGGATCTAATCGTGAAGACTGAAGCGGCCGACAGTTCCGTGTGGGATTGCGATCAGCAGAAGTTCTGACGTATCAAAAGCTCTTGTCTGACGAAAACAGCTGGTAATAAATCCAAGCCTTCGGATGACGCAGCATACACGAATGGATGGCGATGCAGTCGCTGTCGTCGTTGATTCTTACTATGAGCCTTCGTCTGTTGATGTGCTTGGTCGACCACCTAGTAGGGAGGGCTGTAGGATGGTCGTCATATCGCCAGAGCGTCTCCATATTACTTTGTGCTACTATGTCATTCCAATATCAGTGCGTGAGACTTATTGACGTCACTACAGCATGTTTCTTGGTCATTATAGACGATGATCAGTAAATCATCTACTCAGGAACTAACTTTGCAGAGGACATGGCGACTCTTGTGCTACCTAATGGCACACATTGAAAGGCGCACGGTATGAGCGTGTATATGTGCAATGTAGTGCTTGTAGTCTGTAGTGTGTATATACACTATCAGGGTTGGCAGGCACATGCCATGACGAAATTGAAAAAGCATAAAACTGAACCGTACCATTTTGGGCTTGAGTTTTGCGCTGTCAATCTAGTTGGTTACCATTCTCAAGATGCACGATAAGGAGGCTTGCGCACCAGGTGTGCAGGCAGAAAACTAAAGCCTAACACTTTGTAGGAGAATTCAGTCATGTAAGGCTGACCAAGGTGGAGAGACTGCTGGAGCTACTTGCGTTGAATATTGAAAAGCATCAATTAAGGCGGAGGCGCTCTGAGTAGGTGAAGCAATGAGTGAGTGAATGAATACAGGAGAGAAAAGAAGAAACTCGATGGAGGGAATGAGAAGAAAGCACTCCCTGGAGAGAAGCAGTTTGTATGTGTAGAATACCGCTTTTTCCTACACCTTGCTTGACTTTTTCAGTTCCGAAATGGCTAAGTCCGGAGTGAGAGAGTGTTGATATCTCCAAATCAAAAAAACTATTTACTTTCTTCTTCATGAAAATTGATGGCTGGTAGATTGATTGTTTTTTTGGACAGTTGATGTTGATTGCTTGACTTTTTCCTGCAGTTGATTGATTTCTAGCTTTGGCCAGGTTAGTCCATCTCCATTATTCATCATTGCAACTTCAATGGGATCGAGGATTTAGGTCGGGTTTTTAAAACGCTAAAAATAACGCGAAGATCTTCAAACGAAGACGAAACTCACAAAATGTCTTCCAGCACCAACGCCTCTAACTCCATCTCGATGGATGTTTGCTCTCCGGAGAAAGTGCGTGGATCCAACTCCAACGTGCTTCCGCACCTCTGCCAGATTGTACCTTCATAATTTATATTTTACATCATATTTGACTAAGTCAGTTGTTCCTGTACTATGTTATACTTGTACCATATCGCATTTTCTCAAAATCAACATTTATATT